AAATCACCTATTTAATGTGGGCATCTTTTTAAACCTATAGTGTCAGGAATACACATTTGTATTCCTGCTCTGTAGTGTTCCTTTAAGGACAGGGACTGTGACTTTGAGGATTGAACTAATTTGGATTTCAATGCGTTTCTGTAATGAGTGTTGCTTATGCTAATCGTGCCAGATACATATTGGCTCCATATTGACTATGGTAAAGATAATAAGGAGTCCTATATGTGTCCTGCTGTTTTAACCCTGTGCACACTGTGTACTGAGAGGTAATAGTGAGTCAGGAGTAGCTAACATGTTTCATAGCAGCAGCAACAACATTTACAAGAAAGCTAAAATTGTCATAGCAAGAGCACTACTGAAGATGAGATAATAAAGGAAAGCTAGAGCCTCAGAGAGGGTTAGAGAACTAGAGCTGGAGAGAGTCAGTATACAGAGACATTGCACAGGGAGGGTAGACATCTCTGTATGGTATGTCTGTGCAATTCATCCCATTGACCTAGATGTTTGGGATAGTTATGGGTATGTTTTAATTGTGCCCTACTCTAGGTATTGTTTCTATGTATTTTACTCAGCTCTGCCTATTGTATGGGTATTCCTGTATTGTGCCATTTATAGGGATATTTGTGTTGTACTCAGCTCTGGCTATAGTATGAATATCTATGTGTTATGCTCAGTTCTGTGTATTGTTTTCATATTTTCTTATTGTACTGGGTTCCTTGTATTGTATGGGTATCTATATATTGTGTCTTGCCCTGTATATTTAACAGGTAACTCTGTATTGAATGGGGACTACCATTTGGAGCTGAGTACATGAGGTTAAGTGGACAGATACCACAAGTCAGAAGATGGTAACTACATCGGTCAAAGGGCAGAATCAAATTATTTACCAGTCACCACTGTCGATGACAGACAATTAATGATGCACTCCCCAATATTCCTCTCAACCTGTCCCCTTGACATCCCTCTCCCTGAAGTGAGGGGGAGTGATATCCCAGGAGGAGTTTTGGACTGCAGGGAGATATTGGGCTTGGCACAGAATGTTTAAAAAAACTAAGGAAATCAGAGAGATGGATAACTTGACTTTAGCTATAGCTGATCGGACAGATGACTACAGTGTCACTTGTCAAACCTGACTGGAAGATGCCCTTGCATATATTGTATGTTAGATATAAAATATTACTTATATTTCTTGCTGGTGGCATTTAATAGGCTGGATTGCTTCATATCAGGTTATCTTTCTATGCAGTGTGCTGCAACTCAATGTTTGTGTGAAATAGATCTTTATTGATACAGCAAGTGTGTAAAAGACTGAATTTCTTACTCAGAGGAAAAATTACATTTAAATCAGAGTAATCCAATAACAATAGGCTGTGATAACATATTAGCCCTGAAACGTCGGGTCATCATCAGTATGGCCTTCATCTTTGTGGTCTGTCAACTGAGTACCTTTTCATCCATACTGAGCATGTTGTTATCCTGTAAGGCGTGTACTCTCCCCCACCTCCACCCCTACGCCAGTCCAGGCCGCCCCAACCCAGACCGGGCACGCCGACCGGTACACCGGAACGGTACTCAGGATTGAGAATTGTGTTCAAGTGGGTAGGGGCTGAAGGGGAAAAGAGAAAATACCCAGGGGGGAGTGAGTGCACCAGAGCAAGGGGGAGGTGATGGTCAGATAGCCATTCACAACCCTGGCAAAGTCTGCTGAGGCTAGGAATTTCAGCTAGTAGAACGACCGTTGATTATATCTTTCTCGTTCTTTGACTGTGGCAGCTTTCAGGTCTTCACATTTTCTGGTGTCCTCGACCTCTTCAACCCACTGTTTAATTGTAGGGGTTTGCGTCTGATGCCAGTAGGTCAGGATCACCATTTTAGCTGCGTTCAAGAGTTGTGGTATCACCGAGTGTTTGTAGCTCTGTACTGTATTGGCTGTGTGGTGTAGCAAGTACATCACTAGTTCCACTGGGGGAGGCTCCTCTGATAGTCTCCCCACTACTTGGCTGATCATTTCCCAGAACAATGCGATCAATTGGCATGTCCACCACACGTGAATGTGCCTCTATCTACTCCACAGTGCCAGCAGAGGTCTGGTATCTCGGGGTTCCTTCAGATGTAGTGTGGACAGGGTCAGGTACCACCTCATTAAGATCTTATAGGAATTATCATGTAACCATGCTGAAGCTGAGGTTTTCTGAATGAGAGTTAGCATCTTGCCTAGTCTGCTTCTGTAAATGTCTGCTGGAGGTTCCCTTCCCAGCTTCTCATGCAGGATGGCGGCAGTAAGTAGCATGTTGTCTATAGTGGAAACACTTTTAGGGGCCATGGTGTCGTTCAAGCATATGCATTCAAAGTCCATCAACTCCCTGGTGATACACGTTTTTTGTGGAATTGAGTGGGTGTATCTCATTATTTGCAGCCTCGTCAGTGAGTGGAGTAGTGTGTGAGTCACATCAGGAAATATTGCAGCTATTGTGCGGCCGATACCGTCCTGCCCCAAGACATATTTCACCTTGGGGATGTGGGCTCCCCTCAATATCCCTTCCATTGTGCCCTGTGTGCCGACAGGAAAGTCTGGGTTGCCCCACAGAGGGAGTAGAGGGCGTGGTGTTGTCGTCATGTAGTGTTTGGGCCTGTATCTGTGCCATAAGGTTAGCGTTTCTTTGATGAATGTATTTGAGGCTGCTGCGCCACTTCCTCTTCCTCTATCTAACCATGGCAGGGCCCTGAGCTTGGATCTTATGCTGTCTGCTTTCAGGTGAACCCATTCCTTTCTGCTTTGCGGGATCATCCAGCTGATGATTCTGGAGAAATGGGCTGCCAGGTAGTAGTTCTCAAAGTCTGGAAATGCCAGGCCTCTCTCAATTTAGTTAGCGTCAATTGGGAATGCGCTATTCTCTATGATGTGCCTTTCCAGATAAACATCTGGACTTCCAACTTAAGCATTTTAAAGAAGGGTTGTGGTACGAAGATGGGCACCATCTGGAATATGAACAGTAGTTGTGGTAGCAGTGTCATTTTTACCACGTCTACATGACCCACCCAAGATATGCAGAGGGTGTTTCACTGCTTCAGCCTTCCGTGACATTGGTTGGAAATTGTGGCTCCCTTGATAAAGGCATCTCTTGTGCCGAAACGTTGGGGGCTTGCTGATTGATTTTTCTTCCCTCTTCTCACTAGTTCTGGTATGCATTTTTTGTTCTTATATGTTTTTTTTGATGAGTTGTTAGGATTTGATTTCTCTATTAATCATTTATTACATTGATATTCAGGTATTTGTTTACTATATATCTAGTTTGGATGGTATCATAGAACCTCTGACAATTTTTTGTATATTATCAGCATGTGAGTCATGTTTTGATCTTTTTTAATATGCATTGGGAGATATCTATCTTTTTTGTACCTATCTAATAATAAAAAATGTTTTTCACATTAATGGTTGTGCTCCTTGACCGGTTATTATCTGGAAATTGTGGGTAAACAGATCTGCTGGGCCTTTAGTCAGCCACACCCCTAGGTACCCCATGCGTGATTTGCACCATCAAAATGGAAATCAATGTGCGAGTCCCTGGTGTGATTCTCGAGTGGAAGCCAGGATTAGTATTTCCGATTTGGTGTAGTTAATGCATAGGTTGGAAAGTGCGTCATATTCTCCAAATTCAGCCATGTTTTGTAGTGAGGAGGCTGGATTCCATACTACAAAGAGCAGATCGTCTGCATAGGCCAGGATTTTGTGGTCAGTCTTCCCTACCTGCATGCCTTGTATGGCCTCATTGCTCCTAATCCTGTTCAGGAATGGTTTTAATGTCAGTGCAAAAAGGAGGGGGGAGAGTGGGCAGGCCTGCTGCATCTGTTAAAGATTCCCAATGGGTCTGATAAGACTCAGTTTATTTGCAGTTGGGCCCATGGACTAGAATATAATGCCGAGATCCAGGATAGGAACTTTGGCCTGATGCCTAGTGCGTGCAGGACTCTGAACATGAACTCCCAGTCTACCCAGTCAAACGCTTTTTCCGCATCTGTGGACAACAAGGCACCCACATTTGTTGCTGTGTTTATGTACAATATGGCAAAATTGCTGGTAGGAGCATTGAATAGATTGTTGAGTAGAGTCGTAAGTTGTCCCCTCTTCAAGAGAAGGTCCCTATATACAGTTTTGTCCAGAGTGAGTTTATGTTGCAGCTCTAGTTCTACTATGTCCCTACCTAGGATGGACATCTCCTGAGTGGCCGCCCGCTTTTTGGCAGAGGGTCAGGCAATGAGGTGACCGCGGATCACTGTGCATTCAGTGCATTTGAGTCCGGGGTTTCGTTGGTCATGAAGTAGTCTGTAATCGCCTGTCCTGTTTCTTGCACCAACGAAAGGTCCAAGAGGATCGATTCGATCAATCTCCAGGATCCCTGGCGAGGGAAAAACAGCGGCGCTCGGAATCTGAGAAGTATTGGGTTGTGGTCTGACCACGTCTATGGGAGTATATCTGAGCCTTTTAGCAGATTGAGGGAAGAGTGTGGCATAAAAAAATAAAATAATCGAGTCTTATGTAGGAGTCGTGTATTGTGGAATAAAATGTATAGTCATGCATTGTCGAGTTGAGGGCCCTCCAACAGTCTGTGAGTTGGTGAGCATGGAGGAGCTGCAACCTTTTAGCGTGTCTGTTTGTTGTGTGCGCTGTTTCATAGTGGTATCTGTTTCTGGGTGGAGGGTCAAATTCAAATCAACTCCGATTACTACTGTCCCCTTCATTTGACCCAAGAGTTTACCAAGTGTCCTTCGGAGGAATTGGTGCTGTCTCAAGTTTGGGGTGTAGAGGTTCACAAGTGTGTACATCTGGTGGTGAATGGTGCCCTTGACCAGCATGTATCTCCCTTGGGGGTCTTTTTGAACTTCTAGAACTGTAAACGGGATCCTTCTGGAGATCAATATTCCTATGCTGCGGGTCTTCTATTCAGAATTGTTGCTGATTATTCCAATCGGGAAGTGATGATCCTTCAGGGATGGTTCACTGCCTTCTTGGAAGTGTGTCTCTTGAATAAATGCGATCGCAGTTCGGAATCTTTTTAAGTCCATTAGTGGGTGGGTATGTTTCTCTCGGATGTTGAGGGCACCAACATTGTATGAGACTATGACCAGATATTCTTGCGTGTAGTGTGAGTCACCTTTCGGGGGCATGGTGGTTGAGTTGTAGTAAGGGTTCCTCTCTCTTGGGGGGAGGAGAGAGGATGTGGGTGGTGAAGAGGGGGAGGCAGAGAGGGTTAGGGGAGGAAAGGAGAGGAAAGAAGAAAGAAAGGGGGGGAAGAGAGAATGGAATGAATTGGTAAATAATTAAAGAAATAAAACCTTTAATCAGAGGATAGACTTAGTGTGAGGTCCATGTGGGTGAGGTGGGCCTACCCACCTGTGGAGTTAGCGGGCAACAAGACTGATGTCCTGAAAAGTAAGGGTTACCGAGTGCCGCCCGGCCTTTATGCCAGCAGCTTCCCGATCCCCCCGGAGAACAACGCTACTCCCCCGATGGAGGAGCGCCAAGTTCTTAGCCGGTATGGGGGCTGACAAGCAGGACTGCCATCTAGGGAAACAACCCTCTGGTATCAGCGGTGATATGCTAGCTGATGTATTGTCTCTGTGGAGGCACCACAACTGGAGTTATCCTCAAGTCAATAATCAAATGTCGGGAACTAGTTAACTCGTGGAAATAAATGCGGTGGCCTATAGCCGTCTCGGTAAAACATTCTGGGTTTTGAATGGTGCTATCAGGGGCTCGATTTAGGTCATCCCTGAAACCCTGAGTAGTTTGGTGGGCTGGGGGATTAGAGTCTTGTTAATGTTGTGGAGACCTCATACACTGGGTACAAAATGAACCCCTCCTTGTGGGGTTGTTTCTTCCTTCCCTATTGCTGTGTGATTCACTCTGTATTATGTACCCTAGTTCAGTTTCATCCATTTCCTTTCATCCCGAAATCCCCTCCCTCCCTCTCCCCCTCTTCTCCGCACCTCTCCCCCATTACTCTTGCCTGCTTTACCCATATTTTGCTTTATGGCCAATCTGAATTAGGGGACAATAGTTAAGCGGTCCATGCTAGGACTAATTCCGGGGTAAGGGGAGCCGATGTAATGGGATGATGCCTCTGGTTGTGGGTAAGCTATGGAGCAGTCCATCTTTGGCTAAATGTGTATATATATATTTCTCCCCATCCTCTCCTTCCTCCCTTGTCCCTTTCTTGTTATATTTATTTACCCCTTGCCACCTATACCCTTTTATCTCCCCAATTCCACTTCTCCCCTTCCTATCACATCCTTCCCACTTCTCTCCACTTCCTCCCACCACCCCTCCCTCCTCTTTGTGCTTTCCCCTGTATCTCCCCCCTCTCGATCCCCCACCATCTGCGGTTTCTCCCCCCTCCCCACACCCTTTCCCTCTTATAACCCCCTTCCCCCCTCCCTTTTATAAAGTGACCATGCTAATTATCCATCTCTTCCAGCTGAGTTCCGATTGGTCTCCCTATAGGATCATCAATTTATGCGTTGTTACGAGTCATGTCGTACCTCTGTCTCCCTTCCCCCTCCCCTCTGTTGCTTACTCAGATCGATGGTCTCCTAGAGCATATTAGTGTATCAAAGACATGTAAGACCTCCCCCCCTCCCTACCCACCCCTACCTTCCCTTAGTTCTTGCAATGCTTTCTACATTTGGGCGTTGTTGATTGTCCATAAAAACAAAGAGTCTCTTCAGTGTCTGGAAAGAAAAGAAAAATAATAAAAAATGAGTAAAAGAATGCCAGTCCTTTGTGCGTCCCATCGTGTTGTTTCCCGCTGGTGAGTCTGGCAATTATTAACAGCTTTTATCTGTTTCCACAAGGAGCTCCGAAATTAGGCTGCCATCTTGTTCGGCTGTCAGACTCGCCCCCCGCAACTCAATGTTTGTAACTGCAGGTATGTACAGGCTTACCACTATGCAGGTTGGTATGCACCGATGTATAATTGCCCGAAACTGCTGTGATCTGGACAAGAGCATTCTAGCTCTTTCTTTCTCTCCTGAGAATACACATATGTTATCACTTAGGGTGGTGATGTGTTAAATTGTCAAAACCTTCTTCAATAGTACACCTGCCCCCTATATCCATATAATCCTTCAAAAGTACAGATTAGATCAATTTAAATAATTTACGACAATAATTACATAGAAGTCTTTATTGAAAAAGCTGAAGTACATCAAGTTCAAACTTGAAACCCATTCTTTTATGCTGTTGATCCAAGAGAAAGCAAAAAAATTGTTTGAAATGATACTCAAACCATCTATACATATATTTATTAATATGTCTATTAATTTCTCTTCTTGCACTGCACATTTTTAAAGTCCATATATAGTCAGTGATTTTCAGTGTAATGCATTTTTATGATTTTTAATCAATAAATATATACCTTCCACCAAAAAAATATTGTAAGATTCTGGAATTTCCTGGAAGGAATGTGAGTAATATTATTGGTCAGTCTGAGCAATAAACTGAAAGTCATAACTCCTGTATAAACAGTACATCTACTATTTGAATTCTAAGCCACTACTATATTTATAGCATGATGACAGAAAAAAAAAACAAACACAATAATTATACATAGACTCCTACTTTGTGATTATAATAGCTGTCATAAATAGGTGGTTTTACAACATAGACACAATTTACTTAAAATAGAACTCTATCTGAATGGATGACGAAGTTACGGCCTCTGTAACTTTATTTGCTAGATGACTTTAACCCCTTAACCCCTTAAGGACCAAACTTCTGGAATAAAAGGGAATCATGACATGTCACACATGTCATGTGTCCTTAAGGGGTTAAGGACACGTGGGGTTAAACAGTCTCCATAGCGGTGAGTGCTCAGCAGTCATAAACCCAAATCAGGTTGGAGTGAAATATTCATTATCTTAACTAGCATAATTGACAGAACAGATTGAACATGAACCTGAGCTAGAGACCAGCTGAATAATATAGGAAAATAGAAAGAGTATAACAAAAAGAAGACACGAGTTGGCGTGCATAACGAAACAAGTAAAGTATTCCTAAAGTATTGAGAATATCTTAACCAGAAAAGACCCTCAGCTCAAAACACACTAAACCTCATGAAATGAATTGGTGTAAAATGAAATGGCCATAAAGTGAGAAAACAGGTTAAAGAAACACAAGCATTTTGGAGTTGGCATGGTTACAGCATGGATAATTGCTAGTTGATTATTGTTCCATGTGCCAATGCAAGTTGTCTCAGAATCCTTATTTCAGCAGAAGTAATTACAATGTAATTACAAAGATCAATGTAAATATAAAGCAAGAAGTAGTATCCAAGAAATTGGAACAGAAGTGGAACAGTAATCTGTTCACCCTTAGTTCTTTAAATTGCAGAACACTCCTGAAGCCCACAGATGTGGGCATGGGTAGTGTGCATTACTAGTAACTGGGCAGCAATAGTATCCCAGCCACTGGTCTTTATTATAGCGAGCAGCCACTGGCTTCTTGCGGTTTAGCAGATATGCCCCCAGTTGTGGCGTTGCCAGTGGAGGCGTGGGGGATGTAGAAAACCTCCCTTGTACTAATGTGAGGGTCATATTGACCCCACAGGCTTTTACGAAATTTATTTTTGGCTGACTATGGTTCATGATTAAAAAATACTATTTAGCCCTGCCATTTCCATATTAAACCCATCGCTCACTGGCAATGAGTAACAGGTTAAAAACAAAATTTGTGTGCCTGAATTTAGTTTGAAACGCAAATATGCAAACAAAATTCTGGTAAATCAAACCTACAGCATGACTGAAATCTGGCTGGCCTCAAAACTTTTTTAGTTCCGAAAAAAAAACTATTTGGAGGAGCTGAATTTTCTGGCCATGTCTAAGTCTAATACACACACATCCAGTAGCACAAATCTCAAACTATGCAAGGAATGCACCAAGGGGATGATATGCAGACAAAGAGTATTTACAAATAATGAACAGAAATTTATCATCAAGAGGTTTCTTCCGTGTCTTGCTTATGAAAAATATACAAGTAGTGCTAACATTTTAATTATCTATTTAAAAATAATGAGTTTAGGGAACATAAACAAAATGCGTTATAGTTAAAGTTAAATTTTTGTTATGATATGTTTTGCACAGGAAATGGCTACATCAATGTGATTGGCTGGGGCAATTAGTCAATCATATGGCCATGCTGCTGTGAAGCAGAACATTTAAATCATTTGCATTAACCCCTTTAAAACTGATGACAGTGCATATTTTTTGGAGTCACTTTTATACTTACAAAGTCATTCACTATACACTGGAATTTATCCAATTAAACAAAAATATGGTACAAATGACTGAATTCCAAAGCTTAATGTAAACGACAATTGTAATATTTACTAAAGCCAAATATAGTCGGAATTTGATTAACCAGAACGAAACAGCAATAGCAAATTTATGTCTGGATTCAAATTGGTGCTTTTGTGTCTGAATCCTATACAAAGTATAGGATATGGAAGATTGACAAAGAACTCATTTTAGAAAAAAAAGGGATTTGGTGGGCACACCTGGAACATGCATTTCTCAGTGGAGCTGCCCTAGAGTCCAAATATATACAAAATACAGATTAAGGAAAAGCACACACAAAAATACAGTTTTACATTTTATAAGGCTATTTAAAATCACCTATCTTAGCAAACAAATGTAAAGATTATTAGATTGTGTTCACTCTCTTTTGCGTCTTTTTCAGAGTCGCTAGTTTTAAATGTTTAGTCCCCCTTGTTATTTCACAGTCTGTATTTTTAAATGTTTAGCAGACATGCTCCCACCTGCCACATGGCAAGTGGAGGCATAGGGAGGTAGCAAACCTCCCTTATAGTAATATTGACCCACATAGGCTTTTAATTAATTAATTTTTATTTTTTTACTGACCTCATAATTAACCTTCATGCTAGCAAGCGTTTTTAGTGCTGCCATCGGGCAAATAGTTTGGATTTTTTGTTTCAATCCGGGCCATGATTTGAAGCATCTGGACCCTGATTGGAAGCATGCAGTCCGAATTTCAGCTGTCAGGCGTTTAGACCAGCTGAAATCCAGTCCAAATTCAGCCCTGTTTAGGGAATTTTGCCTCCAGATGGTTTTGCCACATTTGGTACTGGGCTATTTGGACTTTAGTGAATAAT